ATTAGAAACGGTTGTCGTCGTGAAATTTGTCGGTAAAATCAGCGCATATTTTCCCAGACAAAATGGCGATTTAGGGTGGTCGTGTTAAAACGGCATTTTCTCAAAGTTAAAAAAGCATTTGACCTGAAAATATATATGGTGCATTTTCCGATATAATAAGGTATATCTGGGCAAAATTTGAGCAAAATCGATTTTTCCGTCGTGGCCGCCTTATGTTTGATTTTTGTGGACATCCTCTCTTAAGTCATTCAGGGTTCCACTCCATGTTAATTTGTTTTTCTTTTGGCCGAAAAAAAACATTCAAACTCGCTGTCGATAAATTCAGAAAGATATCGGTTTTATCAGAGAGCTCATCACAGAGCTCCTTACAGCACGCCATAACATGAGATATAGAGTGTTTTGTTTGATTCGGGTCTGTGGACACGCCACAAAAGTGGCTTTCAAAAAATGCAGAAGCTACTTTCATTTTTTTTGAGGGGAAATTAAAATAAAACACGTCATCGAATTAATGAAAGTTTATTCTTTCCATTAGTGCTTTAAAATTCAAAGTAGCTCGACGAAATTAACTAGTAATCGCGGTTTGAAAATGGGGTACTTTTGCTATATTCTTTCGTCGATGGCGGGAATTGACCGCGCGGATATCATTTGGCGCAAAGTAAAAACTACAGTACGAATCACTATTTTCTTCAAATTCTTTGGAACAAACGCATACATGTTTCCACACACTTTAAGTATCATGTTACCCTAAAGCTTAGATATGCTTGTGTTTAACTGCACTGAGTATACTGACCGTATTTTAACCATTTAGCTTCTCATATGAAGAATTTTATAACACCCAGTCGAGCTTTGTTTCAGGATTCTGGAACATCGCAAAAGGTATATATCCAGATTACAATATTAAACATATAATAAAAATACTGTACGACTGAAAAAAGATTGTTGTTCAGCTGAAGAGCAATTTCCCATTTACATTGAAGTTTACACTGTTTATTTGTATAGTTTCCTATAGCAGAAAGAATTTTCTGACACATATAAAGACGTCCCCAGTAAATATCATAAATGGACCTTTGAGAAAGATAAGGCACTTTTTGAATTTATATCCATTATCAAAACAGATTCAAAGTATCAGTATCGAACACATGTTGTTGGAGAGTGGACATCGTTTAACGCGAAGAACTGTTTCTGGGATGATGGTGCCATTCATGCACATCCAAATATGCAGTACTTTCTCACACATTCTGCTGTCAAGTAAGTTTTTTAGAGTTCTTCATAATAGCTAGGTGTAATACTTGCAAAATTCAAAAGAAATAGATGTTTCCATTAAAGGTCCTATTTGGCAATTTAGTTGTTTTGATGTTTCAAGTACAATTGGTAGGTCATAGAGCAGCAGTATGATGACACAGAGTGAAAATGTGTCCTAATCATAAATTATACCACTTTATCTGTTTTTCATACTTTATATAGATCGCCGTCTACGAAAACGAACAACTGTTTGCTGAAATCCATTATGGTTTGACACAATCTGACAGTTTATCAGAATTAACTTAAATATCTGACAGTTTATCAGAACGTAAATCTAGGCCTGTTATTGGAATCAGCAATACAGTGAGGTTCAAACACAAATGATTACAATTTTACAGATTTACAAATTAATGTAATTCATCTAGAATGTTTAAATGTACATCATTAAGAGAAAAAGCATCCCTATTCATATAAAGTGTATTTTTATCATACACCTTTGATGTAGCATAATTAGAGTAATGTTATCATTTTTTTTACTTCGACAGAAATAAATTTTATTGAACATCAATTCTGTATTGAACATCGATCTGTTTACTTAAGTATCTTTTGTATTAAGAGTGAAATAAATAAAACCATACCATGTGTTAAGACTGTTATATTAGCAGGTATTTGATCGGTTCATTGTTTATTATTATAGCCATATGAAACTGCAGAATTGGTAAGATGGCATTTACAGAATACCCACACAAAAAACAGCACTTGAAACAAATCAGGGAATTTAATAGGTCAGGATGGTGTTCAAACCTGAGATTTGGGGTCAAATTATGTAACTACTGTATATTATTTTATGTCCCAGATGATTGACCCTTGACCCGTTATTTTGAGTGCTAGAAAAGTCAGTATAATGAGACTCCGCCAAAACAATTCTGCATTTCTATTTGTGGCAAACACTATTAGTAGTGGTTGTTTCAATGCAGTACAGCATAGCATCACACATTTCGTATACAGGTAGTACAGTGTGATTCTTTTTATGCCAAGATAGTAAGCCTTCCACCAAAGACATTGAGATGAAGGGTATTGTAATGCAACAAAGGTTCACAGCTATATATATTAAAGTACCAGTAACATTTTTCATCTCCAGAGCTATATCGCTATCATTCACCTCATCACATCCGGATTGTTCGTCATCCTGTCCATGTCAAGAATATCCTCATGTGTAACCACTTCCATTGATGAAAACAACTGAAAGATAAACAAAGAGAGCACAGACTTTGTTATGCACTGTGTTTATAGGTGTACAAGACCTACTACGTATCTCAATTGGGCTGCTAAAATACTAAAACATGCTTTCTACAAAGCTGTGTTAACCATCTTTATCACCGAATATTTTCAACAAATAACATTGCCTGGTGTTAGGCAGAATAAAATAATAAAGCAGGGTGCATTTATACAGTATCAGGTACATTGCATCTTAAGTTAACTGACATGAATTAATTTTCTCCTCAACCAAATATTCTCCCCCTGCTACAATCAATGAATATCGCTATGTTAAAGCAAATTAAACGATGATGTTAGTCAATTCCTCTGTTGAAAACATGAGACGTACGTATATCAATCATATGTCAACATTTTCAAAGGATTCAAGTATTTGATGTACAGACTTTTAATTAGACAACACAATGAATTAAAGTAAACAACGTGCATTTAAATCATCGTACCGTAAAAATGCAGCTCGAATTGTATTTCTATCTATGCTGGACTGCATTTAGCGAACATTTCGTCGATTTCATTCAATTTCCATAATAAACAACCAATGGACATAGCGCTATTCTCACGACATTCAAGTTCGACACACGGTAATCCGCTTGGGATCAAGATTAAAGTTTCTTTAGACACGCAATGAACAAACAGAAGCTCGTGTCCGTTCACTACCGAAACATTCTTCCCACGAATGCAGCGAAAACTTGCCATTTTAGTTGCAATAATTGAAATACTTCTCCAGTTCTGACTTCCGCCGAAGGCTAATCGAGCAATGACGTGCACTGCCGAGAAATCGACAATATGTAATAAAATGTGCCTGGTCGCAATGCATGCCGGTATAGTTACCCATCCTCCTCTGGCTCTATGGTATCGTTAACTTCTCAAAACGTTATAGTTAAAAATATCGCTTCATATAGGATTGAACAGCATTTTTCATTCCAAACAACAATGAAAAACAACGCTCACCTTATGGATTTTCATCGCCATCTTCCCTATGAATGTTTCCTCACAATATAAACTTTTCAAACGCTATCGCTTTGGTGCTTTTGAGAAAACAACTGAAATATATTTTTGCACGGAAAATTTCTCGTAGACAACGTAGGGTCCATGCCAAACAGTTACATGACTTTGGTTTAACGTAGACGTCTCAAGCAAAAATGGCCTTCTTCGTTGATTTTTTCCTTGTTTTCTTGTTTATATTTCACGATTTTGAATAAAATTACCGCCTATTTGCAAAACGCGAGTCCACAATCATTATTTTATTAATGTTTTTGTTAAATATGCTTGTATAATTACAACTTATTTTATGTAATTTCGTGTTTAAATTCCACGCAAGACCCACGCACAGTTAATTACGTAATTAGTTGACTATCCGACCAACTCCGTTTTGTGCAACGCACTTTAGTCACATAATTAACTAACTACAGTCAAGGATTTAACTACGGTAGTTAACGCTAACTACAGTCAACTTTAACTACGTTTTTATTCAATCTGCCCCTGCTATTTGACTTTGAGTTTTCTTTTTTCTTTTCTTTTTTTGTTTTTTGGGCGGGGTTTTTTGCTTGTTTTGTCTTCTTTGTGCGTGTGTTTGTTTTGTGGATAGATGAGTGGGTGTGTTGGTTTTTTAAAATGTTATTCAATTGTCATTAAACCTGGAGGCCTAGTAATTAATTAAGAGGCTCACAATAATTGGTATAAACTGAACGACTTGTTTTTATGTTTTCCATATTTACATGCGTATAAACTGCGTTAATTTTTAGCCTCTACGAGGAGCTTTATAAAAATAGAGTAAATTTAAAAGTCGAAATTGGTCTTCATGGAGCATAAATATATGCTGTGTGTAAGTTGCTATTTAGTGAAAATGCATAAAATTGAGGAAAACGTTGGAGAATATATATATTTTTTTTGACAGGTTTCCCAAATGATAATGAAAATCATACACTGACATTGTATTTACCCCCATTAAATTTCATAAAGTACATTTATGAAAATTGCCTGTGGCCAGTAACGGCCTTCAAAACATTTTACCGATGATTTTTTCCCTTACAGCAACCAATTTAGCCAAAATGATGTCATATTCGATGGGAGCTCTGTAATGGATGTTGGGGATAACACAGTATTAGGTGTCGTCGTCAATCGTCCAGGAACAGATACTCCAGTAGAAAGCAGTGTTGTTGGAGATGCTTTACATCAGACAATTCGTGAAGATGGTCAGACACAAATTTCCAATCTTACCCTTGGAGTTGTCAATGTGCCTACGGTTTCAGGCAATCAGCGTGATAACGCGATCAGTGTTCATTTAACCGGCATCCAACCTAGTGAGGTGAGATTTGTGTTCACAAGCAAGCGAAAAATTAATGGACATCATATAACTTAAATGTATAACTTTGGGAGGAAAGTACTTTCGATTGAAACTTTTCTCTTTACCGTGTATTTCTTCCAAATATTAAATTGAGATTTAATTTATAATGTATTTGTAGTGGACACTGCAACAAGATATATCATTCCGAAATAACATGTCTGGAGCAGTCGTCCAGTTTTGTGGTCAGAGTGATGCACGATTGGCTTCGTGCGGTCTCACACGGTATGTTAATCTGGGAGCCGGCTACTTATTCCGCACGGCTAATTATACCCGGGTATGTGAAAACATAACGGAGTGCAAAGTTGTCCTCCATTTTGTTTATGTCGTGGACGGTTTTCGACGTTATGCCCATGCGCGAGTACAAACTCTGTCGAAGTAATTGTTTTTCATTTTGAAAGGACGTATTTTGCTGTTTTACAGCAATTTTTTGTTTTAAATTTCGTTAAAAAGTTTACAAAAGTTTACCTCCATTTTAACTGGAAATAAGCCTGCAGTTTCATGAATTAGTGGCGGTTCAACCGTGAAACAAAGTTTGTATAATAATTGTTTTGATGTTTTGATGTTGATGTCTTTGATAAATTTAATCGTTCTTGTGCCGGTTTGGGTAAACATTTCAGTAGTAAAATTCCATGCCGTAGGCTACTTGCCTTAAAATACAAAAGAACAGTAACTCCGAATAACATTTTGTTTTGATTTATTGAATCTACGTTTCGACTAGATTGTAGTCATCTTCAGGATTAGTGTAAGATTACAAATACAGTTATATATAAAGAGAGGAAAGGCGGAGCTTAATGTCAGTGAAATATGATCAATTCTTTAGATGCTTTAGCGCCATGGTTTAGTTCCGGGTTTCGCCTCCGTATGGCAAGAGACTCTTTATACAATAACAGAGACCAGTGATCAGACTTGTCAATTATTTTACAGTTGATGCTTGTGACCTTACTCTGAGTGTATATCCACACCGGGCAAGCTTGAAAAATATGCCTGACCACGGTGGGAATCGAACCTACGACCTTTGGAATACTAGCCCAATGCTCTGCCAACTGAGCTACGCGGTCTGGTCGGTTCGAGTATGTGATATTTCGGAACAGAATCTATAGTTCCTTCGATATCATATCAATGTAATCCCGATATCAATGTAATCATGATTTTTTTTTCTGTGTTGGTGTAAAAAATCATGATTATTAGATTACATTGATATCGAAGGAACTAGATTCTGTTCCGAAATATCACATACTCGAACCGATCAGACCTTGTAGCTCAGTTGGCAGAGCATTGGGCTACAATCCTGGACAAAACATCTGCGACACTTCAAATTACTTGACAAAATGTCGTCATATTATTGTAAATTTAGAAAACCTCCCCCTTTCCCCCACCATTCAATGTTGATTGCATTCATGGAATGCGGATAAAACGTCCAACATTGTTTTGGGGGGTGGAGGGGGGCAAACGAGTAAATTATTCCGGTCTAACTGGTAAAAAAAGCCACAAAGGAATGTTTTAACAGAGTGTCGCAGATGGTTTTGTCCAGGATTGTCTGTATCTTTCAAATTAAATAACCAACCCATTGCGCATTAAAAATTGAGTTTTATGCAGGACTTTCTCTTTCCGTAGTAAATATGGCCAACTACAATCTTGGACATAACTGGTTGAGACTATTTCCCCCCCATAGAAAATTCTCGTATTTTTATGATAAACTCCATGTTGAATCATGTTGCCATCCTTAAACCCCCGCTCCCCCAACTCAATGTTGAGCTTGTATCATGGTATATTACCAAAAGTTGTTTCGGCGTTGTTCACAACATTGAACTGAGGGGAGGGGGGGGGACAAAGTTTGTTTTGTCAATGTTCAATAACTTTGTAATATTAGCTGAAATGATCTCAAGGGTTTTGTCCAAGATTGTAGAATGTATTAGGCTTCAACAAGCAAATACCACATGGTCGACAAGGTAATATAACACCCTCATGCAACGCTATGCTTCGATAGCTTGTATAGAATGCGATTAAGAATCATATGCGACGACTTTAACGCATTTAATATACGTCGGAGAGCAAGTCAATGTACTTAGTAGTGTATATACCAACTATTTTGCACTAAGAATATTCTAAAATACGTCAATCCATATTTATTTGTGTTGTTAGACAGACAAACGCTTAGCTGTTGACTGGAATATATTGCGTGACCGCCGCGCTAAATGACTAATCCGATTTTGTTATTGTCGTATAATTAATAGCGCATGCGCATTGACGGTGTACCACGGTACAGCGTGAACATATAAGAATATATATATATATATATATATATAACCTTTTGTAGGGCTAAAATGGTACACCGTGGAATATTTTAAAATTATCGCGCTAAATATTGTCTGAAGTAGGTTGGAATACTAAGCAACCCACGTTCTTTCAAGTCCATATCATTGGTTTGTATTACCCCTATAACTGGGAATATTATCACAGTCTTAGTGCATTGGTTGTGGTACACCGTTAGGTGTGACACTGAAAAATTGAGCATTGATTGACCACACCTGTAAAACTTGTGTCAAAATGCATAATTCACATTTATATATATAGTTGTCAGCTTAATATTCTAAATATATGCAGTAAACACCAGAAACGTAACTATATTGAATTTATTGTCCCTTAGTTCTACTTATATCACACGCATTGGCGTTTATGTATAGACTGAATGTATAACCTATCAATAGAAGTAGGTCATAAGCAATGCGCGTAAACGAAATACATGGCAAGGACATGTATAAAAAGCGAAATATAAAATAATATAGTTTCGACTCATTTCAGACAATCCTGGACAAAACATCTGCGACACTTCCAATTACTTGACAAAATGTCGTAATATTATCGTAAATTTAGAAAACCTCCCCCTTTCCCCCACCATTCAATGTTGATTGCATTCATGGAATACGGATAAAACGTCCAACATTGTTTTGGGGGGTGGAGGGGGGCAAACGAGTAAATTATTCCGGTCTAACTGGTAAAAAAAATCCACAAAGGAATGTTTTAACAGAGTGTCGCAGATGATTTTGTCCAGATTGAATCCTGGACAAAACATCTGCGACACTTCCAATTACTTGACAAAATGTCGTAATATTATCGTAAATTTAGAAAACCTCCTCCTTTCCCCCACCATTCAATGTTGATTGCATTCATGGAATACGGATAAAACGTCCAACATTGTTTTGGGGGGTGGAGGGGGGCAAACGAGTAAATTATTCCGGTCTAACTGGTAAAAAAAGCCACAAAGGAATGTTTTAACAGAGTGTCGCAGATGGTTTTGTCCAGGATTGTAGCATTCCAAAGGTCGTAGGTTCGATTCCCACCGTGGTCAGGCATATTTTTCAAGCTTGCCCGGTGTGGATATACACTCAGAGTAACGTCACAAGCATCATATTCACCTGAGTACATTACACCAACACAGAAAGAAAAAAAAAATCATGATCATTTTACAGTTGTTGAAAATTAATTGAGTAATATTAGTGTTTAAAGGGTTAGATGCGTCAGGTGAGAGTTCCATAAGAGTTTTAATGTATTGAAAATATTCACAGGAGTTTATATAGAGTTTATGTGGGCGTTGATCTCTGAGTTTTCGCGCGTACTATGTTCTTTTAAACGCGTGTAGAGACAGCGGTCCGTTTTGCCAATATAAGCGCTTCGGCAGCCCGGGCGTGGAAATTCATAAACCACGGAGCTTTCATATTCGTCCGGCGTCTTGTCTTTGCATGACAGGAAACAATTCGAGTTCGTGGTTCACCAGTTCAAAATAAACTTGCACGGACTCTTTAGCAAACGGCGTGTTTTACTTATAAACATCTTTGTCAAGGTGTTGCCATAATTGCCAATGAACGGTAGTCTTATCCATATCTTGGGTAGGTTGTCTGGGGTAGTACTATCTGCTTGGTCGACGTGCGTGGTGTTATTATGTGTTTCTGTGCGTGGTGTAAAGGGTTTAATTAGCTTATTAGCAGTGGCGTAGCTAGCGAAATTTGACTAGTCCTGCTCTAAGACCCACACATTCTAGGGGGTCCGGGGACATGCTCCCCCGGGAAATTTTGAATTTTAGAAGTCTGGAATGGCCATTTCCTGCGATTCCACGGCGAAATACTCCAAAGGGAAAATCAAAAAATTGCGTGATTAGCGGAAAATTTTTGATAATTTTTTTAGAAAAAAAATTTATAACTTTTTCAAATCCATGCATTTTTTATCATATTTCACTATATATTTTTCAACTTAACTGAAAATGTAGCTAAATATAGTCAAGTCACGAAAGTGGAAAATATCATTTATACAATACGCGTCTGTAATACAATCTTTCACTTGATCAACACAATCCAACCTCACATAATCAACAATTGCATAACTATTATACTGTTGAACACGGCGTTTTATATACACTATAACGTTACGGCTAGCATTCGTTAAAAATTCACTACGTTTGTTAGTAATGTGACAGATCACTACGCCTGGCACTCTGAATGTAATTCAGTACACTATGCCTATGGTATTAATAATATCGCGTTTAATATAGTCTATGCGGCCAAATATCTACATAAACAGTGTGAATTGGTACAGTATATCATTTTGTCATCATTATATCATTGTGTCATCTTGCGAAAAATAGTTATGTCCGAGGTATTGATCTTTAGGTCGAGAAATTGCACGTTGTTGTCAGGAAAATCTTCGAAGGTAAACTGGATTTGAGGGTGAAATGAGTTAAACGTTTGTATTATTTTCGGGATATCGCTGGTCACTGGTCTCTGTTATTGTATAAAGAGTCTCTTGCCATACGGAGGCGAAACCCGGAACTAAACCATGGCACTAAAGCATCTAAAGAATTGATCATATTTCACTGACATTAAGCTCCGCCTTTCTTCTCTTTATATATAGCTGTATTTGTAATCTTACACTAATCCTGAAGATGACTACAATCTAGTCGAAACGTAGATTCAATAAATCAAAACAGAATGTTATTCGGAGTTACTGTTCTTTTGTATTTTAAAAAAAATTCTGAGTAGTTTCCCGTAAGTACTTGCCTTGTGTTGTCGGTTTTATTCATATCTGCGAAATTTTTAAGCCATTCTTTAAAACTCGATAATTCACTTTAATGCAAGCTGGTAGGCTATATGAAATTGCAGTGAATGTTATCGTTCATTATAAAGCTAGCGCACAGTTGTGTTTTTATGTTTGTTTATAATGGTCTTAATACTTTATGTGGAGTTTTTATACTTCATCTGTTAAGAAAGGCGAGGGGTTGCTGCATGCATGTATTTTCTAGTAATGAAGTATATTAGAAATTTAGAACAGAAGTTTATACACGACATCACTCTCATTATGTTATGTATTATAATGCCAGGAATAGACGAAGTAGGTTTTTGGTATAGACTGCATGCATGTAGATTTGCAAATAAGCACAATTCAGAACTGACGTTTCGCCTAGCAAATGAAGCTAAAGCATACTATAGTGTTAATGGAATTCAATTGAAACAATTTATTCTAGGATCGAATCATATCCTCCAAGACCTTATACAGTAGATAGAAATTACATAGACCACAAATATAATATAATGTAATCGAATGATATAAAGATTGCGCCATTAAATAAGCTCAACATGAAGACTAAAGTCGTTTAATTCCATTAATTAATGTTCATATCCTTCTGCATGGGTATCGTCGGCGGTGGTATAGTAGTACCTCCATTGACTAAACACGTTTTCTGTTAATTATAGAGATCAACTGAACGACATTGATTTCCTGAATATCCAGATTTTGCCCAATTCTCCCACGCAAGATGGCGACGATTCAATTCTGTCATTCTTTGTTTATCTACCAGGTGGAGCAACAATGTCCTCAGATCTTTTGAATATTATTTACACTTCATCTCCAAATGTCATATCACAACCGTCTGTACTACATACGACTATGAGCCAAAATTCTGTCCTAACAGCTGATCAAGCTGAAAGCCTAGTACAACTTACAGTAAATGGACTCCTTCCAACACAGGTATACACGTTTTTTTAATTTTACGTGTCTATGAAAGATTGTTTATGTTCCTTTTAAGTAATGTGATACGTCACATATTTAGTCATCTGTCTGCATCCCATGAGTTTTGATTACTTAATGGCAATTCACTGTAGTTGCATGAAAAGCATTTGCGCCTTCAAATGGATTGAGTATATGATTGTGTGGGTGAAACATTTCAGTCCTCGGAGAGACCGAAATTTCTACAGATTCATGGCAATTTATATTCTACTTTTAAACTAAAAGATGAACTTGAAGAATAACCAACTAAGCAGAAAATGGAGTTTTGGTCTGAAAAGTGAAAACAAATGCTGAGCATTACCGTATTTATTCGTTTAATTGAACGTCGCCCGATTAAGCTACGCTTATAATGAACATAAAATTTCCGTTATTTAATTTATCTACTAGAAAATACATGCATGCACAAACCCTCGCTTTGCTGACAAAACCATTGTATTTTCCGAACATGAAGTATCTTAAGTTGTTGTCATGGTAACACGATAATTTTTTAAGAATATTTTTACAAATGAAAAATCGCCTAAAAATATCACTTTTAATTACAAAATTGTCAATTTCCCAACATATATATGTTAGGTATGATATTATACGTAATATAAGCTTCAATTTAAGGTAAAATTCAACCATAAACGCTTCCCAAAAAGTTTTAAAGTGTTCTTTATAAAACTAAACTGCCTTTAATGAAATGGCTTTATCGATAAACGTTGAGTTTGCAATAAAATGATTTCAAATTCTCGCATGCAAATAACTTTGCTTTCTTTTAATTTTATTTAAAAAATTCAATATAATAAAAAAGGGAATCAATATTAAAAATACACTGAAATTATTTATATGCTGTCTTGTTTGGTTGTTTCATATACACAAAGCCAAAGGCCGTCGGGTTTTAAAGCAATTATAAAATCAATTTTTAAAACAAACTTGCCTTCGTTAACGTCGGCTTCCTTCTTTTAGCCGATTCTTTTGCCATTTCTTTCTTAAAATTTACAAAATCTTGCGAAAATGCGATCAAAAATGAAATATATTTGCAAGAAATTTATCAATCATCAAATCAAGAAGTGTTTGCTATTTCGCTGTCGTCATGCAGTCGTTATAAGGCAAACTTTAAATTGGACCAATCAGTGTCCGCTATTCATGATAGTCCGCCAAATTTTTAAGATCAGTGAGGATCACCACCCACCGAACCACCAAACCACTCACGGTAACCCACGCCCGCGCTCATTGATGAACTTTAGACTTGGCTAATGCTTTCGTTTCCCCGGGTGTAAATAGCCGGGGGGAATTAGTACCCTCGCACGGCGTTTCGCGCCGTCGGCTCGGGGATTAAAAGTTTCCCTCTCCAATGAGCTCCCTCCTTTTAAGATGCAGACATTTATTAAATTAAATAATTATACGCTGTCAATGCAAATTCTCCTTTAATGACAGGATGTTAGACTGGATGTCCAAACTACAATTGCAAACAGACTGAATGCATATTGTCGGAACAGTTCTGCGGCTGCAATTTGTCCTACTAATGGGTAAGTTTGTGAAAAGTCTTATTATAAGTTTTATATTAATAATCGCCAGCCACCGGGCTGGTTAGAGCCGTTCCAGTGCTAGCTGGTACGAAGATACTAATTCCGCACGGTTAAGGTACTAATTCCGCTTGGGTATGTGCACCCGCGCATGCATGTATGTGTAATCTGTTAATCCAAAGTTTCGTATGCTTATCTAAAAAATGTTGCACGACGTTGTCGCATGTCTCTTTCCTGTTTGTAATCTGTTTTATTTGTCATCATGCATGAACGTTCGAAATTCTTTGCTTTAATTCCCAAGATCAACAACATTATTTTTAGATTCACTTGGGAATAATTTGTAATTTAATTTTACTTAATTCACTGAAATAGACAATTATTTGCAAACAAATGGCAACTGTATTGAAATTTATTTTGTTTAATACGCCTTTTATCTTTTTATTGACCAACAGTAACGTGATTGCTACGTACTGCAAATTGAAACACTTGTATCTCGCTTATATTCTTTTGCCAGAAAGTTCACGTTTTGCATACCAAAATTCCGAGTTAAATATGTTGAATATAATTAAACTTATTAGGATGCAATAAGTACAGTAGGTAGTTCCCTTGTAGAATCAAACACTATTTAATTGCTATTTAATTCCTATTTTATTGGGCTATTAATTCCTATTTGTCAAAGTATTTATTTCCTATTTTTAATATTATTTTTTTGTCGAGGTTTTTCGTATTTAAATTAGGGTAGAAAGGCTATTTTTTCCTATCCAAGTGGAACCATATTTTTTTCCTATTCATGATATATTTCTAAACAAATACTTAATTGATGTACTCGAATAGAAATTAAATAGGTTTCAAATATGATAAAAATAGGGCTATTTAAGGAAATTATTAAAAATATATAGTTTCGACATGGTTAATAAATTAATATGTATGAAATAGTTAAAACATAGTGGCAATATAGGTAAAAAAATGTAATAAATAGCTGATATGAGTTTCAACAAAATTTAAAATAGTCAATAAATAGTTCAAAAATAGTGATAATATAGTTTAAAAATAGATAATAAATAGTTAAAATACATCCCAGCTTGTTAAAAATAGATAATAAATAGTGGATATAGCCATATGTTTCTTGCCGGTTTCAGGTGAGCGATATTCTTGTTGTGAAAATATTTCAAACCTGCTACAATATCTTCGGCACATGTTGGCAGCAATTCTGCGAAGGAGTCAAAGTCGTCCGTCTACGAAATGGACAAAATCTTCTAGAGTGCAAAGACTTTTTGCAACTCCAAACGGGCGAAAATCGAAGCAAGAATACTCCATCATTATTGAAAATTCAAGGAACCAGATTATGTTCCTGTGGCCTTTTGTACTGTTCAACAGTGCGGCTTCTTTCTCAAAACAGGATTTCGAGTCAATGGACTCGACATTATTGTTTTTGGCAACCACTTTTTCTGGTCTTTCCTTTGTATTTTGCTAGGTATACGGACCCAAACGTACCACAACCCAACTTAATTTTCTTTTTCGAAAAGTTTCCACTCAAACTTTGGTAACTCTGGATCCTTTTTTGCCTTTCTTTTCAGACTTATTGGGATTTTAAAGTTCGCTGCCATTTTGTTCCATTTTTGTCAAATTTTGGCGCGAAATTGTGGTCCAGTCCGCGTTTTACTAATAGAGTCCAGTCCGCGTTTTACTAAGAGAGTCCAGTCCGCGTTTTACTAACAGAGTCCAGTCCGCGTTTTACTAATGGAGTCCAGTCCGCGTTTTACTAATAGAGTCCAGTCCGCGTTTTACCAATAGAGTCCAGTCCACATTTTACTAATAGAGTCCAGTCCCCGTTTTACTAATAGAGTCCAGTCCTCGTTTTACTAATAGAGTCCAGTCCGCGTTTTACTAATAGAGTCCAGTCCGCGTTTTACTAATAGAGTCCAGTCCGCGTTTTACTATATACCGACATTGAGTTATATCAACACGGCTCTTAGCCAATCAGCATTCAGAATTTACAAATGCTATATTATAAAATCTGTTATCAAACTTATGTCACAGAAGTGGTAAAGGACATATGTGACACTGAATGGTACCTTTTGTAAATGTTTTGGCCAGGGGTGGGTATTTATTTTTTAATTGATATTTGAGGTTGGCTAATTATTTTTTTTTACTTTTTAATGGTTGGTTCGGCAAAATTTTTCCCACGAAAAACATTTCTCTTCGGTGCCACCCCCCCGCCTTAAATAATGACCGGTCCCTTAGTATTTACCGTCTATAAATGCCAGACAATTTTACATGTCAGTAGGTAGAGTACTGCCAATAAATGAGTTAATAATCTGTAGTCTTTTAGCCAGATATTCAAAAAGTAGACATACTGTAGTTAGCAGTCTCTATAGTTGCCAAAGAGTTAAGTATATACATACAGTAATTTGGCTGGGGGCTGGGGAGAAAAAAAAGCAAGAACATCATGCAACATCAAGAATAGGGCGAAGCTCGGCAGCAGTTAGGTTCAGGCCTTCTTTACAGGTTAGAAAAAAACATTTATATATTGAATAATACCCTGAATCTATAGCTGGATATTTTTCAACTATCCAACATATATCCTGTATGCAGCTGGATAGCAAAAACATTCTATCCTGCACACCCCTAAAAAGAACTTCAAGTAAGTAAGGTAAGAGGAAATTGCTCCTTTATAATAATATCAAAGTACTTAAGTAGGAAGTGTTAGAAAAATTGCATCCAATTGATCCATGAAACATGGGCAGAGTCTAGTTTTCTAGCTAGACACTTCCCTTGATGAATAAAATTGTCCGGCATGAGGCAAGATAACATTTAATAACAAAGTGCTGAATATTGGGCTCATTGGAGTGAAATGGGTAATTCCAAAAACAATCAAAGCATTGCCGTGGTGTCTCTAAAATCAGCGCTGTGAATACTCGTTACAATTGTAACGCGTTACAGGCTACTCGTTACGTTTGCAGTAATTTTGGCCTGTAATTAATTACATTTTTGAAAAGGAACGAATTATTGTAATTAATTACAAAATAAAGGAACGCGTTCCTTTTGCTTTAACGAATGAAAATTACAAATTCCTTTGATCAAATAATTTAAAAACGCTTTCAAAATTGCTTTGTTTTCCATTTTTGTTAAATCCAGAAAATTTTCAATAACTGATTCAAACTTCAAAGTGCCAGTGGAAGTTGTTCAATTGAACTCTAATACTTCATGTAGTGTATTCATATAGTGAAAAGCATTGCCGCCATGCTTGAACGACTGCAAAATGCTAATATGAACGCTTGAACGTCGAATGCTAATATGGTAGACCATGTTGTAGCTAGACAACGACTTTGTCGATTTAGAGAATATAGAGCCAGCCGGGCCCAGTGAACCAGAGTCAGCCGTAAGTGGAGATGAATCAGAAGACCTTCATGGCCAGAAATGAAGTCCAACATGGCTGCCAAGCATGTCCATTTTGACTCAAAATAAAAATTCAAAATGGCGTCTTCTTATATATAATTTGAATGGGAATAACGTAAAATTTGTATTTTTGGTAACTTACGGTTGAGAAATCCAAAATGTGCATATCTAAAACTTCACCGATTTGGTCAAACTTTTATCCGTTAGAAAATTGGTACAACTCGAGTTGTTTAAGTATGTTCCCGAGCAATCAATATCTTTGCCTTAATCTCTGTATAGGAAAGTATGTGATTTCGACATATTAGGTATTTTGCAGGTCCAATTTCAACTCGTTCTTTGCAGATATCGTCAAATGTGCATATCTGAATTGCTTCGTACAGTTCTCCTTTTTATTATTGTCACTTGTACGAAGCGTAAAAGTGTACACTAGTGTGTTCCCCAAAGCGATGAATTGCATGTATTTGTAGAGAGGCGTTTGTCCAATTGTGATGAGAAATGCACCATATTTTGAACATAAATATCACAAATTTCGCACCAAAAGTTATATTTGTTGTCCGCCATTGCTTTTATAAAGCTGTTGCTACGTTACAATGGATTTAACCGTTGTCATTATAGGCTGTAGTCTCATAAACATCCTAAAATTCGCGGGATTTCGCAATAAATTTGATTTTCCTACTTCAAAACATTTATAACTATTGAATATTGGTAGACTTTTGAAATTTGAGCATCGATCAAGAAGACTTGGTTGGCGTAAAGTTTGTTATATTTTATAATTTTGCTTGTTTTCTATATATCTGGTTGTATTTGCAATGTCGGATATTCCGCCTTTGTGCCCTATGCATACTTGTTTGCAATGGAAATTATGTGTTGAAAGCCATTCATTAGCTTGTCTCTTCGTATTTTCAATTTACAAATCTGCCGTGCTCAGATTAATTCTCGGTAAAACTCACTGAGTTATACTAGTAAAAATCACCAACTAAATAAACAGCCATTTTGTATTGGCCAAACTGAACCACTGATCTGTATAGTGCACTGCATTATCAAGAAAACATGAGCCCGCACGCCTGACCGCTTGATGTCCTCCATTTCTGGCCATGTCAAGACCAAGAAGGCAGTCAATCTGCCGCTGTGCAGGATTTTAACGCGGGAAAAGAGGAATCTCCATGGCCCGAATTGAATACATTTTTTAGTGTTTGTTGTAAACGAAACAACAACCTCTCGTTCGAGTGCCTTTTGTGTAAACCGAAGAAAACCGTGCATTCCACATATATTACATCACACCCCAACCTTCCGTGCAGCATGCGAGCATCATTTTATCACTAGTGGTCTGATACTGAGGCCTCACCGAAGCAGTCTTAATGACAAACATTTTGAAGCATGCCTCCTCTCAAAGCTTTTAAATAACTTAAAGTTTTTGAAATAAATTCAAAACATTATAATTGATGGGTGTATAACCGTTGATCGTTATCGTTTTTCTTCATTTTGCGAACACTGAACATTTATACAAAATTATGATGTGTAATTTGTAATTAATTACATTTTTAAATAGTAATTTTGTTACTGTAATTAATTACTTTCCTGAAGAAGTAATTGTGACCAGTAATTAATTACATTTTAAAGAAAGTAATTTTATTTGTAATTAATTCCTTTTTGGACGGTAATTTTGCAGCACTGTCTAAAATATATAAAATGTAGCCCAAAGATTGTTACATATATTATTAAGCAGATGATGAAGACATGTGGTGTTATTGGTCTTTATTAATCATTTGATAAAAATACATATCAAATTTACATATTTAAAAAAAAAATTGTAACACAGAAGCTACTTAATACATCAGTAATACTAAAACTATTCTATTCATTATCAACATGCAAATTATACTTAAAAATCAGTCTATTAAAAAAGCTATTCTTGAAGCGTTCTGTGTTACATTTTGGCCACAGTGAGCTTTTGTTACGCAGACGCCTGGATGAGTCTTTGACTATAGGTAGCATATGTTTAAGCGGATGATTATCGTTATTTTTTATCTTTCTCCAAATGTTACGATCACTTCTCTCTAATAGTTTGTATATATCGTAATGTTTGCTAGAATAATTACGTTTAAAACATCTAGTTAAGAAGCACTGCACTGTATATAAATCTGGGGTAGACGAACCATAGACAGATATTAGACCATACGATATCTTTGAGATTACAAGAGAGTTGAAAAGCAAATTCAACTCCCGTTGACAAAGTCCTTCCTTTCGTAACGATCGTATCACGTATAAACTTTTATTTGCACTATATAACATATTCTTTACATGTTCTGTAAATTTGCAATTGGACTGGACTGTGGTGTAACTAAATGTGGTGTAACTAAATGTATTCATAAGTTTGAACAAGTAAACTAAGTTTGAACAAGTAAACTATTTTGATCTATTCTAAACTGACCCACCTATATATGAATAAGTATTGGAAACTTATGAAAGTACCAGTTAATTTGAAACCAGTTGATAAATTTTCTCAAACGATGTTTAGCTGGGACATGCCTGCGTAGGCATATGAGAATTGAGAAGATGCCAAGCTATATTATTTTATTCAAGAAACACTGGAATCTGGCAAAGTGTCTTATACACTATACACAAAGGTCAAAGTATACTATTTGGCATTACAATAAACATCATTTAATATAAAGGCTGAGTCAAATGTAAGCCTTCTATAAAACTAATGTTGTTTTAATTCAAATATTGTCGCAGTAAATTGAAATTTTAAGCCGGAACATGTGCTCAAAATTCACGAATGAAGATAGTAAATATTTCCTTTCAAAATTGCTCTATTTATATATAAAACATAACAAAATTCTTACCTGGATGTTACCCAGACATCCCTGATGTTTAATCTTTAAAATAAATATCATTTTCGCTCAATAAAAGCTCTGTATTTCGAGAGGAAAATTTAAACTAAAAAAAATTTAAAATATGGCGGTGTGAATTGTGACGCTATCCCAGAAAGCTTTGCGCGTGTTGTACAATCTCGTACCCAGAGCCATCGTTGAGTGGCTCTGGCCACACGGGATTGAAAAACGATCCTGATTGGTCGATCCATAAGCTATTGGACCCATACCCCCTGTGGTGTTCACATGCGCGGCCAATATGAGTGAATACGATATATTTGCTAATATTTTGCCTGAAAATTTGCTTATTTCGACGAATTTTTTGTTGCTTTTCGTTCGAAAAAGTGGTGAAGGGATTAAGGAGTTGATTTATGCTTACTTGAATTCATTTGGGCAAAATAACAGGCTTCGTTATGGTAATAATTCATACTCTCGGTTCACTCTGAGTGAGTATTGATGGGAATGATGGCATATGTCCTTGATCTACTATATTGGAGTGTTATTATTGAAAAGAAATTCAAGCGTTTATTGTGTTTATACAAGATTTGGGATTTTTTAATTGAACTGTAAATGTATGAATCATCATGGTGTGAATGTAACAATTAAACAGCTGAAATTAAGTTCTGAAACAGCATTTGGCTTCTTTTGCAACTTGTTTGATTGAATTGTTTGATGATATATTGTTTCTGTTTACAGTATTGCCTGTACAACTCTGTCAGAAACATTAGTGTTAGTAGCCAAAAAAGGTTTCATTAAAGCCAGGCCATGTAAAGTATGTAATGTAAACAAACCCTTTGTTTACATTCTGAACCCAGTGCTTTTGTTGTAGAATATTAGATATATATTATACTGAATTTTTAACTCTTCTGGTTTGCTATGCTTGTAAATGAATACAGACCAGAGATTCAATTCAAGAAAGTTTGGAAGGTGCAAAATATTAATAACATTCCAATGGTCAGGTCCCGAACATTGGAATGTAGGCCTGCAGAATGCATCCGCAGAACAGACTTTACATGGTCAAACAATTATAGCAGTATGTACTACATACAGTATGTAATAATATGAAACCATCTACACAATTTATACAATGGTTTCACTAAAGCTGGTAAATAAATGATTGTCAACTATTCCACAGTCTTGCTGTGCTGAGTGGTTATATAGTAATACTACCTAAAAAAAAAAACAAGCAGAAACTCGACCTTGGCTACTAACTCTTGATGAAGGGCCTTCACTCGAAACATCAAATTTCTGCTGTTTTTTTTCAGGTAGTACTATATATTAATATCAGATGTTCATTCTTGTAATGGACAACTGAGTGTGCAACAATTAACAATTGATTTGAAGTCCAATGCTCAACAAAAACAACTTTACTTTTTCAGAATATGACTACTAAAACCAAATTTTAGGTTTATTAGTAAACTATCGTATAACTTCATACATCTTTAATAATTTCAGGACCACCAAAAGTAGGGATGTGCACAGGCAAAAGCCTAGTTCAAAAGGGGCCTCCAAAGCACAAAGAGTTGTGTCAGTGCCAGATAATATGCAGTAGTGTAATATATTGTAAAACACCTCTTCTCTCGATTTCTTCAGGGACCCCTGGGAAAACTTAATGATGTCATATGGTTCCCCTGGAAAAGTTTTACTCTGGGCCCTGCACAACCTCTCAGTGGTACCATAAAATAAATTGCAAGTTCTGAAAAACCTTTATTGATTTCAATAATGTGTCATTCTTCACACAACTTATATCAAGCAATACAAGCATGAAAGTATAAATGATATTACACTTATTCAAGCAGGACATTGTTATTAGTCGGGCCAGGTGTGATTCTTGATTCTTTAACCTAACTACTTTTTATCACATAACTAATGAGCAATGCCACTTCTCCAACAATACTATTCCTTTCTTGAGTACTTCATTATATTAGACTCTTCATTATAATGCAACATGTTGCAGCTGTTTACTGTTCCAGAATACAAAACTGTATAATTTTGACTTGAAACTGATTCCATTGTTTCTGGATGTACTGGTATTGGCATAATAAAAAGATTATCATATGTACGGTCCCAGATGTATCTGAATAAATGTAATACTAAAGTTATAAAATAGTCAACCATTAAACACACACGGGTATACTGCTACAGGCTTTTGCTCAATTGCTACAGCAGTACAGGCCTTCTTTATTGAGAAAAATATCTTTATTTTCTCATTGTATGAAGAATAATATTTGGTTTTGAATTCCCTAGGTATGATAACCTGAGTATCGGGCTCTATTTTACAAATAGATTTATAGGTATGATAGATTCATAATAATGCATGTATAATAGTAATAAATACTGGGTATGATCAGCTCACAGCTAGGATATGCTATAGAATTTCTGCTGCAAATCTGCTGCATTTTTATGGGGTACACAATATATTTTGTGGTATCCTAAATAGACTGCAATTAGGATGGAAATTTAGAACCCAAGATTCAAAAATTAACCTTGAAACAAAATAATGACATGAACAATATAAATTGTAACAAATTAAAGAATTAAAGGTAACCAAGGCAGTGTGCAACAAGCAACGTTCTTGCTCCAGAATAGCCTATTTAATAAAGCTGAGAGTTATTAAATTACATTTATATAACAAATAATTAAACGTACTTATACCTTAAGAAGAAATCGGAACATTTTGAAGGGACAGAGCCATTTGATCGAGGAGTGTTGACATGTGTACAAGCCGGTGTTTCAATCATCTCAAATTACTTGTAGAACGGAAATCACACGTGCACTCAGTATCAGTTGTTGTTCACACTAACTGCGCCGAACATATTTTAATGCTTTTGACGGGGAAAATTGCGATTTTATTGATATTTTCAGCAAAAAGTTAGCTCTCCACTCCTCTTGAAAATACTATGGCGCGCGCGAATTCCCGGAGAATGGGTACGAAATAGTTAATTGGAAAATACTGTACTTTTACCGTATTTTCTAATTAACTCAACTCGTGTGGCCAGAGCCACTCAACGATGGCTCTGGGTACGAGATTGCGTGTTGTAGGAAATTTAGGCACCAGTCTGTCAAACCGCGCTCATCGTGAGAACTTTTGGTGGTATTGGTGTTTTGTCAAAAATGGTGTTTTGTCAAGTGACAAAATACCTACCTCCACAAAGACTATAAATATTTTTGTAAATATAATTTCAATGAACTCATGAAAAATTTAAAATGTCTAAAATTAACTAAAACTGAGAAATTTTGACCAGTTAAATAAATACATTTACCCTTTCTCAATTCTCACAACTTTCTATGAATAGGAAATAAATAGCTTTTTAAGATCTAATTATTTTGCTATTTATTAGCTATTTTAACAATAGCTAGCTTTAAAAATAAAAGTAAACATAGTTTAAAAATAGCTATTTAAATAGCTATTTTGAACAAAATTCGCCACAACTTTCTATGTATAGGAATTAAATAGCTATTTAAGATCTATTTATTTTCCTATTTAATAACTATTTTAACAATACTCAATAATAGCTCCAAAAATAAAAGCAAACATATTTTAAAAATATCAATTTTATAGCTATTTTGTACAAAGTTCGCCACAACTTTCTATGAATAGGAATTAAATACCTATTTAAGATCTATTTATTTTGGTATTTAATAACTATGTTAAGAATGGCTCCAAAGAAGATAAGCAAAAATAGTTTAAAAATAGCTATTTAAAACTATTTTAACTGACTCGTTTGTCATCAATAGGAATTAAATAGCTCTTTAAAAGCTATTTTATATTGAAATTCCGTCAATTACTCTTTCAAATAGGATTTGAATACCTATTTCAAAGCTATTTTTTTGAAAAATATAAATAACCTATAATTATTTTAAATAGAGTGTAAATAGTCATATACTATTTTATGAAATTTGATAAATAGTAATAAAATAGTCATATTTTTGAAAAAATACGGAAAAAATAGGGCTAAATAGAGAAAAATAGGTATAAAATAGGTTATAAATATGTCGGAATCTACAAGGGTTTTCATTATCCCCGAGCCGACGGCGCGAAGCGCCGTGCGAGGGTACTAATTCCCCCCCCCCCCGGCTATTTACACCCGGGGAAACGAAAGCATTAGCGAAGTCTAAAGTTCACCAAATATCGCAGGCGTGGCTCACCAACGATGTTTCGGTGGGTGGTCATCCTCACTGATCTCAAAATATGTGGCGGACTGTCATGAATAGCGAACACTGATTGGTCCAATTTAAAGTTTGCATTATAACGACTGCATGACGACAGTGAAATAGCAAACATTTCTTGATTTGATCGTGGATAATAAAATAAATTTATTTTATTATCCATGATTTGATGATTGATAAATTTCTTGCAAATATATTTCATTTTTGCTCGCATTTTTGCAAGATTTTGTAAATTTCAAAAGCTCTCTCAGAAAGAAACCCCCAAAAGAATAGGCTAAAAGAAGGGAGCCGACGTTAACGAAGGTAAGTTTGTTTTAAATATTGATTTTATAACGGTTTTAAAACCCGACGGCCTTTGCGTATATGAAACAACTAAAGGCAGTATATAATTTCAGTGTATCTTTAATATTGATCCCCTTTTTTATTATATTGAATTTTTTAGATAAAAAAAGAAAGCAAAGTAATTTCCATGCGAGAATTTGAAATAATTTTATTGCAAACTCAAAGTTTATCGATAAAGCCATTTAATTAATAAACGCAGTTTAGTTAGTTTTATAAAGAACACTTTAAAACGTTTTGCGAAGCGTTTGTGGTTGAATTTTACCTTAAATTGAAGCTTATATTACGTATAATAACATACCTAACATATATATGTTGGTAAATTGATAATTTTGTAATTAAAAGTGATATTTTTAGGCTATGTTTCATTTGTAAGAATATTCTTAAAAATTATCGTGTTACCATGACAACTACTTTAGATACTTCATGTTCGAAAATTGCAATGGTTTTGTGAGCAAGGCGAGGGTTTCTGCATGCATGTATTTTCTAGTATTATTATTAAATCAAACAACGGGACTTTTTGGGAGAACTCGGACTTAGGAGACCCGATAGATAATATGTAAAAGTCGAAAACCTTCGTCCCTCCGAAGTAAAGTTATTCTAAGTTGATTGTGATATCAAAAAGGAATTTCATTCATAACATGTGTTCGATCATAACATACATTATTTTATTTCTTTATAGAGCCTTCACCAAGGATGATGTTCTTGTCCAAATTGATCCTGCCACTGGCAATGTCAGTTTCGTCGTTCTTGATCCCCAGACAGGATCACCAGTTCCTGCCAGTGGTGTACAAGATGCCATCAGTGGAGAATTTACGTCCGACCTTCTCGGTCTAACATTTACAGTGCCTCAAAGCGGTAGGTGAATCCATTTTATGATGAGACTATCCACGAAGAAAGAGATTTGGGTGAAAATCAGAATCTGAAATCAAGAAATTATTGCCGAAAAAGTTAAAAATATCGCCATAAAAATGCCCAACATTTTCGTGCCTAATATTTGAACAAAAATTTAAAATCAAATATTATAACATGCCTGAAACTTAGGCAGGATTTCAAAATATACGTTCCCTTACTTTAGCCTAAATTTTAGGCTAAGAAAAATGAAAAAAAAACATTTATTAGTCAGTTGATGCCTAAAACGTAGGCATGCATCGTTGTAAAATTTATGATTAATACGCCAATTTTTGATGCCTAAAATTTAGGCAAATTTTGCGCCTAAAGTGTACCTAAAATTTATTGATGGCTAAAATTTAGCCAACATTGGAAAATTTTAATGTCCACTTATACAAGTATAGCCTAAAATTTAGGGAGACTTGTTTACTGTACTTAATTCCCGCGTAATTACCTGTTATCAATATTTCTAGTCGCATTTCATAGCACGCTCACTCGTCACGCGCTTAACATAATGAAAAGATATGGCATGAACAAAACAACAAATCCTCGAGACCTACTAAAATTTACAAAACTACGTTAAAACAACAATGGTATAGACATTACAAACAGCAAAAGGCGAGTTGGATAAATAAGGGATTAGCCGAAATTAAACGGCCTTCATGGAAGTCCCAACAAGGCAAGTTAACCCGTGCGTTATTATTAATTAGGCCTACAACTATATAATGTTATATATGGCACCAAAATCACAAAAGCTCTCTAATAAATACTACTGAGCAGCATACGCCATTTTCGTCGTCTAACCCTAGTTTCGAAACTCTAACTTGGACCCAATGACTGAACGTAAGTTATTTTTAGTGCTTTAACTAAAGATTTTCAAGTGAATATTAAAGCCTATAGTTTTCATATGGTCGTGATGGTCGTAAAACTAGAGTCGCAATCTTTCTCAAATGCCAGTTTATAATAGTCATACCTGTAAACCTCATATAATTATATATAAATCATAAGTATTCTCTAGTTATAATCACTGCGCCTATTTTCAGTTCGAAAATGTTGTATTTCGGCTAATGAGAAAGATTGTGACTCAATCTTTACGACCGTTACGACCATATGGAAACCATGCTTAAGAAGTGCATGTGTTAATTAAATTCAATGATCGAAAGGATACAGGTTCAAGGAGAAATGTCAAAAACTCAGGTATATATAAAAAAATTAAACATTGTATTGCTAAGTTATTCAGTGAGTTTTTTCTCAACTTAGTCGGTTAATAGATTGAACCTCCGGTAGGGGGATTCGGCGAAACCATTACCCTCAGTGATATATTTCCTTTGGGGAAAAGCCCCTAGGGAAATATCATCACTTCGGGTAATATTTCACGGAAACCCCGTCTACAAAATGAAATGATAAATATTATACCTCATATTCAAATTGCCCAATCGAAGGACAGCATTTGTACCACGTGACGCTGTGACTTTTCACTGAAATCCATGATACGCGCTGCAGCGTTGTATTACCATAACATACCACGGCAGTATATTTTTGAGATATACCATTACACCACTTGCACTATAATGCATGCAGTGTTTCAACATGGTTGTTATAAGACCTGGTTAGGAAACCCGGCAAACTTCAAAGAAATTACGCTTTAAACAAACATGGAGGTTGAACAGTCAGTTTGACCCTGCACATATTGGTTTTAATCAATCAGAATTGACCAAACGATGTAACACAAACATTTTCCATCGACAAATAGTGGTAATACTTCGTTATTTGCAAAATATGCCGTAAGATATAGCCCTGGTAGGCAAAACAAACATTTGGTACCCATTCCCTTCGCCAAGCTTTCTGAACTGACTATTGTCAAACAATAGAAAGACAAAGGATTTTTCAACCGTCTCCCTGCATAAGGTACACAATCACCTAAAACAAAGGGTTTCCAAACCATGTCATATATGTTAACTATGGTTTCAAGTACCTTCATGGAATGTCACATATACATGCAGGTATCATAAGGTATCATAAGAATGTCACATACAGGTATCATACAGGTATCATAAGACACATACAAGTATCATTTGTCACATAAATGTCACATACAGGTATAAGTGTGTGCAACCACAAGAATTCCTTTGTGTCCGAATAGCTCGTGTAATCCAAATCTTGTATGGTAATGAGGCCGATAGAATTAATTTCAAATGCATATTATTATTACTTTGTGCGAAAATATTATTTCTTACGACATTGTTCAATTACTACATTAAAGAATGATTCTCAGAGTAATGCTTTGCGCGCTTGGTTGCAGCTTGTCGGCCATTTTAGGGTGCCCGGAAAATGGCGACTTTCGTATATTAGGAGTTGTGCGACTAAATCCTCGAATATCCGAACAACTTTCATCATAAATTATTCATTATCCTGAATTTATGGGCTGTGAATATATGGCTTGACCTGCTGTTAAGCATTTCATAATATTTATTTGTAATAAACGACAAATTGAAGTCCATAGTGTGACGGTATCTTCGACTGGTGCATCGCCGCCAAAGCGTGGAAAGCCAAGAAATGAGATAGGTTTTGTGCGTATAAAATTAAAGAAGGACGTACATGAGATGTGGATTACCAGAAAAGATTCTATTTGATCTCAACGAAGACACATCGTGATTTTGCACGGCACTTGCTTCTAAATTTAGGCGAAGACGAGCCTTTGCAATCAATGGAATCTCCAGGCGCGATGGTAAATACTACATATTTGTTATCAATGCAATAAATTTCTTTATATTTTAAAATGATTCGTTATCTACGCCCCATAAGATCATATATTTTGTATATTACAATTTATATCAAACCTTGCCAAATGTTCTGTCTTCAACACCTGTTAGTATAAATGGCAAAGAGGACCGAAATTTGTGTTTGTCACCCCTTTGAAAACAATAGAACGTAAGAAATACAGTAGATATTATCCTTTATATATGTTTTAAATGCTTTAATAGTAGTACTAGCCTTGTTGCCTAACATAATGTGTTCTTCCTTGAATAACAGAGTAAGCGACTATAAGGGGCTGTTTATATGGAAGCCGGACTGGCCGGCCTGGTAAGCAGGATGAATGTATCTGAGAAACTGAGAAAATGAGCAACTCTCATAACTGCTTGCCAGGAAAATTTGTGGTTTTGACATTGTTTTGACAGTTGTTAAAAATAGCTTGCATCGGAATCTTTGAACTTTCATCCTGCAACCGGGCCAGCCCATTTGTTTGTGTTTAGATGGAGAAATCTTTATTGTGGTAAGTAACATCTCACCTCTTTCAAATGGTAATTTTTACTATAAAAATAACTACACAGTGAGATCTCCCTTACGAGGCTGTCTCCTGACTAAGAGAGCCAGCGGCCCAGGCCGGCTTTCATACAAAGTCTTCAGTTATATAGCAACTGGTATATCTTATCTATTTTGTCCTTTATTATTAAATTCACATGCTATTACATATATATCCTCAACATCAATATTTCTCAACCAAAATAACATAACGAATCAACGAATGCCTGTCGTTTGGCTCGTTTTGGCTGTTTCACATGGTTGGACGTGCTCCTGTTATTCACAGCTACAACCAAAATGAAACCAGGTTTACTGGAAATCAGAGTTAATTTAATTTCATTTCCCTAACAGAGGCATGGATGTTGCACCTACATCTGCTAATGTTGACATTAGCAGAATTGAGAGTAATTCCATATCTGTTAATCCTGAATTTGGATTATACCATGAAGAACCATCATTTGAGAGTAATAGTTAATTATTAATGGTTTTCACAATTTAGTGTCTTAATAAGTAGCAGCATCTTTTGAGTTTTGATGGCAAATGAGCCATCATGCATGCAATGAGCCATCCGATAAAAAATCCACACTTCCCAACACTTTCCCATTCCCCTTTTGGGATATTCTAGTACACTTTATTATCCAAAAAAGATTCCTCATTTCCTATCCTCTACTGCATTCCAAAAATTTCCTTTTACCTTTTTCCAAATATTTATTTACTTTTAGACCTTTTATTAATAGTTCCTGTGATTCAAGTGAATGTCAGAGTGGATCTGAAGATGACCATGGCCGGTGCATTTATGATGTTCAAGGGTAAGAGAGAACTATCAGATCACTTGTAACATCTTCATTGACATCCACTTTCTAGTTTCTACTGTACTGATTGTGAACATGACCCATTTCCCATATTTATAGTAACAAAGAAAACCTCTCCATTTGGTATCATGGACAGTACTCTTTTTAACTATTTGTTTGTTAGATGTTCAAATATTGTCTGTTTTATAGATTTGCAGAAGAGTATGATCCTGAAGCAACACTAGGGAGAATTTCGAACTTATATCACAATATAAGGAGAATTTCGATGTTTCGAGCGAAGGCTCCTCGGCTGGAGTTACTAGCGGGGGTCGGGAAAATTACATGAGCTTTTATACTAATTAAGAATATAAAAGCGATCACATAACAAAAAAATACACCAATCAGATGGATTTCGTCAAAACAAAGTATAAACAAAAAAATTAAATCACATTACAGAATATATTTATAGAATTATACAGAAAACTATGTCAGCCAATACAACAAAATATATGTAAATATAGAATAAGATGCTAACTTTGAAAGATGGGGGACGGGTGGGGGTGGTTTTGATAATGCACAAAATTTGGTAAATGCGAAATATGGTAATCTAATCAATGTGCGTGTGTTTCTTTGTAATGAAATGAGGTTGGGTTTACTAGACTGGGGTAAACTTACAGTTGTACATTTCTCCTGAAAAGGAGCCTATTAGAGAGGGGACGTATTTCAAAAGGGGGCGAAATGGAGGACCCACAAAAAATGATTGCAAATATTACAAAAACTTTATGATAATATCATTATAAGAATCATTTTAGTTGTAAATTTTGGATACGTAATGGTATAGATAATTTAAACTACATCATGCTCTCTTAAATCCCATGTACACGCCATCATTCGCCGGGTATAGGTGTCTTAATGCCAGCACAACACACGATGGGCACACCTTTTAGTCCCCTCTTCCTAATTTCCTATACCGCCATAAAATGTACTGGCGATATGCTGCCTTTCTAAAGCTGTTTGTTGAATAGTCTCGCTCTTCTGCCCTGATATCACACCTCGCTCGGATAGCCATGACCAACACATCCCGGTCTGTGCATGTGTTTTGGAATGTCACAAATGATGTGACACATGTGATTTTTTTGCAACACTTATTTTCCTCCAGTTGACATTGGTTGACATGGCCCACATGGCCTTGTCCCTGCAAAAACTGGGGGGTTTCCGCCAAATTGCACCAGATTTTTGGCATAATCAAGGCCGTATCCGTTTCGCCAACTGCCAATGAATTCCTAAAAATATTAAGTTCCTGTAAATAATGCTTTCCAAGTTTCGTGTATCAGTATCACATAATTAAAGCAAGAGCTTCTTCAGATAACTAGCTCATACAACAGGAAACGTATTTATACAAACATGCGACTTTATTGCCAAACTGGACTGTCTATAATAAGTGCTAAAATGCGTTTTTGGTGACGAGGAAAGGCGATATAAACGGTAACTAGACATTTGCCTGAAAGTGTAAAATATTTCCGAAACCAAAATGAATGTCACTATGAATTCTATATACTGTCAACACAAATAAATGTAAACTAACCCTGATCTGGTGTTTCGCTTCCTCTACCGCGATCTGATGACGCTCAAAAGCATTTCTTCCGGCATTTGTAGCTGCTACTGTTCCTGTTGAAGCTTATTCTTACAACATGCCTTCTTCGTTCCATCCATATGAATAGCCATCCGCATATTTGAGCGTCTCGGTATGGGCATCCTCGTTGCTTTCTACCGCTGCGTTTGTTACACGTATTTTTGCAACTACAAAACTGAAATGAACTTGATCAATAAATATACGGAACATTTACTCTATCAAACTATTTATCATAAATCAAACAACGAGGAAACTAAGGGTATTTATACTCGCTTGCGTTCTACCCTGGTCTGCTTGTATTAAACTAGATTCACCAACAGCTGTGCTTCTTGCGACGTGTATGTCGGTGATCCGTACGCATTTAGATCGTCCTCTACATCGTACTGCGACACATTCAAATCTTGATCAGACTCTGATTCAGACATTTTATCAAAAAAATACTAAAATGTTCTTCCAAAGGACCAAAATTTGTGAAAAATTAACACAAAAGACGCAATATTATGCAAATTGTAAAGGGAATGTGCACGTGACACGGAAATTTCCCGTATGTAAACATAAACAAAAAGCGCGCAAAGCATTACTCTGAGACTCATACTTTAACTCTTCACTCAAACATTTTTGGGACAAATTTGGTGGATTTCCATTAATCAGTTTAAAACTCATGTATGTATTGGTTTCATGTTTCTGATATTGAATCCTTTTTATAATCTCGATCTCAACAGCTGCGGGTTTTTATTCGGAATTACAGTGTCACAAACCGTATTTGAAAAATAATTAGCCCAACTGGTATTATGCCTGCATGACCCTCATAGCAACAATTAGGTATTTTTATAGGAGGAAGATGAGAATTTTAAATTTTAAATACTTGTCCATACACTGTTCAATAATCAGACAGTACAAACGTTGTATATTCGCCATCTTTCTGCGTATCCAAGCTTTCCGCTGACAACAACAACAACAACAACAACAACAACAACAACAACAACAACAACAACAACAACAACAACAACAACAACAACAACAACAACAACAACAACAACGACAACGACAACGACAACAACGACAAAAGCAAAACAATAACAGCGGCAGCAACAACAACAGCAGCAACGACAACAACTAGATCAACAACAACAGCAACAACAACATCAGAACAACAACAACAACAACAACATCAGCAATAACATCAACATAACAACAACAACAACAACAACAACAACAACAACAACAACAACAACAACAACAACAACAACAACAACAACAACAACAACAACAACAACAACAAAAACAACAACAACAACAACAGGAACAACAACAACAACAACAACAACAACAACAACAACAACAGCAGCAACAACAACAACAACAACAACAACAACAACAACAACAACAACAACAACAACAACAACAACAACAACAACAACAACAACAACAACAACAACAACAACAACAACAACAACAACAATAACAACAACAATAATAGTTTATTTGTACCTTAATACAATTTACATGGTAAAATTACAATTATTAAAAATAATATAAATAATAGGCACAGGTTTCGGGAAGCCCACTTTGCAGACATTTTGATATTCGGATTATTATAAGGTAGAAGACTACTGAATATATATATCAAGGTACAAACACATAGAGGTCATATTCAAATCACAACATATAACAAGAACGGTTTGAGTACAACAAAACACCCACAGTACAGCACACAGATCTACATTATCATGCACGCAATTTTTACAGGTTAAAATAACCGCGAGCATTATAGTACCACCAGATTCTGTGGTAAGATGTTATTAAGTGGAGTAGAAGAGGATAATTATACATGAAAATTTCCAGTTTTTATGAGACTGTATTCAATATTATTATGGACTATATTCAATATTGATCTAAATAGTATTCTTTCAGTTTTTTTTTAAATTTATAAAAGGAAAACGATTTTACAGTTTCTTCTATACTATTCCACGTTTTAGTTCCCAAAAAGGGTTATTGATTAAATAAACCATAATTAGTTCTTGCCTTAGGAAGATAATACGACTTTTTAGAGGCCAGCCTTGTACTTTAATTGTGAACTGCATCTACTGTTGTAAAAAAGCCATTGAAAGCAGAAGGTAATATTTTGTGATAGTATTTATGCATAAAACATGCAACATGAAAAGTTATCAAATCAAACATTTAATTATTTTTAATTTTCGTTGTCTTCGGCCATTCAGATAAGAGGTGAACCGGCTCAGTAAACTACCGGAGATGTTAAATTGCCGCAATCTGGAAATGATGTGAGAATGTTGAACCTTATCAAGGGTTTTAGACATATATAGGTACATCACATCAGTTTGCAGGCCAGAATCCAGCAACGAGCCAATGTAGTTGAGAACTTCGACCAATTGGTTGACACAGGATCTGCCGGGAATAAAACCATGTTGCGCTCGGTGTAACATTTGCAAGAGGTGATCTCGTAGACTGACCAGAACACACCGTTCAAGTACCTTTGATATGATGGTTAGCAGTGGTATTGGACGATAGTTCTCTACATATTCCTTGATTTATTTCTTGAACACCGGGACTATGTTTGCCAGCTTCCACTCATCTGGAAACACGCCTGCGTTAAGCGACTGCAGATTATATAGTAGAGTTAGTGATGGTGCTATTTGTTCAGACGTCAGTTCTTTCAAAAGTCTTGCAGAGATCTCGTCAGATCCAGTTGCTTTAGTACCATCAAGTGAATGAAGAGCGGCGACTACTTCGCAAGGAGAGAGAGAAATTTCGGAAAATTCCGGCCCGCTGGTAGGTGGTAATTTTAGGCGAGGTTCGACTGCATCACTGGAGAAAAAAGGAAGAAAAAAAAAAAGAAAAAGTTGTTTCATCATAAAGCGAGCGATATTATTTAGCTTGTATTCTTAAACTGGTGAAAAACTGTCTTTGATTTTAACATATTGAGTAGACTTTCTCCAAGTCTTGCTTCATTTTTGATAGGGTGCTGTGAGATCAGTCCATGGCTTGAAGAACGGGGAAGTCTTGTAAACCTTCGCACTCATTAATGTTTTTTACTAGAAATACATGCATGGGACAACCCCTCGCGCTCATTTTCCAAACATGCACAGTTTCAACATGAAGTATATTTGTAATTACGCCAACATGCACGCAAACTCGCGTTGCTCGTGTCATGTTAGCCATGGCAACACGATCATACAGGTCGCCCTTGAAAATAATTTGAGCCCCTTTTTTCTTGAGTTTTTATAAAAAATTAAAACAAGTTAATTCAAAGAAAATTTCACATGCAATGAAAAGGAAAGCTGTAGACTGTAGTAGCTACATGTTCAGCGCCCAATTCCCAAATGTTGAAAATGTGATTTCCGATCGGTAATTTTTATTTGACTAGTATTTAATTGGTAATTTTTGCTTTATAATGACACAAAAAAGTTATCATTGGACTTGGTTAGAAAAGCCTGAATATTGTTATTCGTGTGAATTGTTTAATCCTCGATATCTATAACCCACGCGAACAAAGATAGATAATACCTTTAATTTAATATACACTATGCATAAAAGATAGACAAATGTACAAAGATCTGTGTACAGTATAGTTTCAGTATATTATTTCAATTCCGATTAATTCTGTTCCTGCAGCACAATACATTTAAATGTACAACTTCAAGGCTTCAAGGTCAGTTCATTTTGATTTTTACCATGTCCGGCAATCGTATCATATCAAATCGGATCAATTTTAACTAATCACTGATAATTAGTAATAATATGCACAGTTCCTGGTCATCTTCGTTTTAAAATATCTGCTTTGCCTATTCTGTATATTTAGAATATCTTATTCAGTCTGGCATGTTAAACTGAGCACATGATCTTAAAAGGACAAGAAGGAAATTATGATATTAAAGTCACATTTGCGATATTGGATATTTACTATAGCCAAACACTTGCAGGTAAATGTATGCAAGGAAATCTTAATTGTGCATTTTCGAACGAGTCGTGCCGTTAGTTTCCTTTTTACAAAATGATTCAAATTGTGTTGTTCCTGGACACCTATTCATTGAAATATAATAATTAATTGTAAGTGCACTACGATAATATATCCCCTTTAATAAATTGATAGTAAATCGGTTAAAATTACCTTGTTAAATTTTTTGCTAAAGTGTGTACTTTTAGGCCGACCGGTTAGGGCAAGAGGCTAGTTTCTACTGAATGTGTGCTTTCCCATATCTTTTAGGAATCTGGACAAACAGATGCTACTCGAAACTTGCGTTAGCCGTACGTACCTGCATTCCGTATTATATGGACACAAAGCTGCCTGACAGGTATATTACTGTATTTGTAAGCTAGATTTAAATTGAATATGAAGCGAATTTTTTGTTATATATTTATTTTCTATTTATTTATTAGCTTCACCAGTTACATTACAATATATGCAAATTAAACTTGCCTACAATATCTTTGGTAGGATAGCCGTAACAGCGATTAGCCAATCACTGCGAGGTAATACCTCCCTATGGAAAGCCCGAATTGTAATTAAACGAATATTAAGAGAATTAAAGTCGTTATTATCGGGTGTCAGGGGAAGAGGTGCACGTGAAATGGTGCTTGACATGGTATTGAGACTTAGGTGCCGAAATGGGGGTGGCAGAATCTATAAAATCACAAGTTTTGCATTTGGCAATCCTGTGACAGGAAGCTATGAACTATATGGTTTCACGGATATTTTTTGCTGTGTGGAAAAGAAACTAAGGGGTTATTGGAGAAAATGGAATATGTTTCGGGGCCTTTTTTTCAAAATATGGAAATTCTATCCTAATGACACCCCTAACTTTGAAATTGAAAGGATGATAAGTTAATACTAAGGGGATTTTTTGTTACCTGTAACATTGGATACAGAGTCTGTAAGGGTCTCAGATCGGGGAATTTGGGAGCCATTCGAAAAGGTGTCTAATAGAGAGGCGGGATAGCCACGTCTGATAGCCACGTCTAATAGCCACGTCTAATAGCCACGTCTAATAGCCACGTCTAATAGCCACGTTTAATAGCCACGTCTAATAGCCACGTCTAATAACCACGTCTAATAGTCACGTCTAATAGCTACGTCTAATAGCCACGTCTAATAGCTACGTCTAATAGCCACGTCTAAAAGTGTCTAATAGAGAGATGGGATAGCCACGTTGGGCAATAAAGTGTCTCACTTCCAGACGTTTGGTTTCGAAGTCCTCCTTTTCACTTAATTTCCATCCTCATATGGGGGAAACTGGAAGACCTTTGAGGACAAGGTATGGTGAGCATCGGTTGGCAACGATGCTAACTAACCTGTTAGATTACATCGATATCGAAGGGACTAAAATATCACATACTCATATTCACTTGAGTACATTACACCAACACAGAGAAAATTCACGATTACTATCAGTTCCAAAATATCACATACTCGAACCGACCTGACCGCGTAGCTCAGTTGGCAGAGCATTGGGCTAGTATTCCGGGGGTCGTGGGTTCGGTTCGGTGTGGATATACACTCAGAGTAACATCACAAGCATCATATTCACGTGATCATGAGTACATTACACCAACACAGAAAAATATTTGTATTAATATATTCTGTAATGTGATTTAATTTTTTTGTTTACAGCTTTTTCAAGTCAGGTTGTCCACGAGCAAAGCGGAAAAGTCGAATACGAGCGCGAGAGGCTGCTCGGAATCGCTTTGAAAATTTATTAATTTGTTAGCGATTCCCAGCAGCCTTTCACGCTCGTATTCGACTTTTCCGCTTTGCTCGTGGGCAACCTTAATTGAAATAGCTGTATACTTTGTTTTGACTAAATCCATCTGATTGGTTTATTTTTCGTCACGTAATGCTTTTATATTCGTAATATAAAAGCTCATGTAATTTTCCTGATCCCCCACTAGTAGCTTCAGACGAAGCCCTCGCTCGAAACGTAGCTTGGCGTGGCAGGGTCTCTGGGTTTGGGGGAGGCGACGAAAAATGGGAAGAAAAAACAATTGGGGGGAGGGCGCGAGAGGGAGAGCCTGCCGTAATGCCCCGGTATTTTTCATGTTTTACGGCCGTGAGAGGCTGTAGAATCCTATTGGCTTATTGGTGTAATATATGCAAATTTATTTCACCGGAAGTATTTTGAGTAGTTGAAAAATAATTTTAGAAATGGCGTCTCTTGTACAGGTCAGTATCCAAAATAAGGGCAATCGATCCTTATCTTAAGAAAGAGCAAGAACAAGCTGTAGAAAAACTCTTACTTGGTGAAGATGTCCTCGCTATTTTACCTACAGGTTTTGGCAAAAGTAGAATATTCCAAGCATATTCGCGTGTGAAAGATAACGAAATGAATGGTTGGTCGGTTGTTCTCGTCATTGCCCCTCTATCAAGCATTATTGATGACCAGATAACTGCTTTAATGTCTTCTGGTTACCCTGCAGCCGACGTGAAATTTTTACAACATGAAGACATGGAAAGATGCGATTTTAAAGTACTGTTTAGTTCAGCAGAAAACGTGTTAACAACGAAATTTCAAGACCACCTTCTCCATCGTCAATCAGAGCTTCATAAGCGAGTCTGTTGCATTGTGGTGGATGAAGCACGCACAGTAGAAACTTGGACTGGAAAAAGGTGAGCATAAATATAATTCCAACGGCAACACTGTGTGACAACGTCGTATATTTGAGTGAATCAGTGAATGAAGCGATTTAATATACAATCTAAGAATTTATACTCATGCATTCTCATACTTCATTTTTAAGGAAGAAACGTATGAATTCAAGAAGAAAACCAGACGATATATTTAGATGTGCGTTTGGAAAGTTGGCTACCTTTCGTTCTTTCTGCAGAGAAGGTAAAAACCGTTCAATTAAATGAATTAATTATCACATAGAATCGTGTTTTACAGGACAGACATCTGCGTACGGGCTGATGTGGGGGCAGTTGAAAGTTTCCCCATATTTGTATGGTGGATTGTAATGAAATTTATACCCGACTTTAAACTATTTTCTGATAAATCTGCCCGAATTGTCTTCGTTTTACCTAGCAATTGCCAGAATTTCCACGGTTTTCTAAAATTGGGGGGGGGGGGCTGTCTCGTACACCTGTGACAACAGATGATTTGCCATGCATCGCTTTCTGCTGTGTTATAATTAAAAACTTACACATCAATGACAATGTAGTATCGACAAAATTTGTATGATAATGTAGTTAACTTTTCGTAAAGATTTTCCGAGGGAGTAAGTTAATACTACTAGTACATTGGCAAATTGCAGAGTGTTTCACTAAACAATACTTATCTAATTTCTCAGTTGTAACCACGGTTGTAAGAAATAAAATTGTGTTAGCTCTGTAATGGCTAATTCTGTATTACTGATGTTATTATCTTTTGTACAAACTGTTTTGTACAAGCTGTTCTATTATCTTTTGTACAAGCTGTATAATTAGTTACAAACAGATACAGAAAAAAAATTGCGATTCACTCTTATTTCTCAAATTTTGCTTCAATAGGTACT